GGTAGAAGGACCCATGACCGAGTTACACTGCATCACGTGGAAACAGAGATATTCATTGTTTTATGTCATATCAATCAACTAAAAAAGCAAATGAACACTTCAATAAAACGAGCACAGTTAGCACATTGCTGTAGTGAAGTCATGCTTGAGATAAAGACATTAAGCGTCTCACTCCAACACCTCCTGAGATATTAGTCAATAAGGAGTGATAGCGGCCTATAGATCCCTGTGGGACAACTTTTCTCCTCGGTACGCTGAGCTGCTCCCCCCTCATCCGATGAGGAGGGGCTTGTAGTTCGATGCTGCAATAAACAGTCGCCGTGCAAACTCCCCGCCCCACCCCGGAGAATCTGGCTCTCCCTGTGTCTTTGTAGATATATATAGAGTTTCTCCTGCAAGGCTGTCAGATTGTGTTTGTCTCCACGGTACTCTCCTTGTTCACACTTCACACCCTTTAGATTCCAGCTTTCCAAACACACGGGCCATGCGAGATGGTTGTCCTGCTGAGGTCAGCTGTTGTTTTGCATGTGTGTGCGTGCGTGCGTTTGTGTTGTACAGTGTGGCTGTTGTTAGGGAAAATGTCAGGCTGCAGGGAGGGAAGTCTTCGGCTGTGTGGAATGAGTTTCGTCTGCCTGACAGTTTGAAGCGCCTTCATAGGCAATTAAGACAAAAGAAATGCTCTTTGGAGAAGCTTCTGAGATCCAAAACGAGGTCGAGCTCAGAACCCTTTAAAATCACCGGTTTGCTGAATGACACTCGAGCAGGTCCATAAGTGTCCTCCGCCCTGCTGCCTGCATTCATTTCCTGCAGCTCTCTGGCCCCTGTAAGCTCGCTGAAACGTTTGCCAGCTCTTTTCCACGCCTCAGCTCTTCTCCCAGCTGAGCAGCGTGGCAGCGGGCCACCAATTTGTAGATAAGAGCCTATTTCTCAATAGCGCCAGCAGATCAATAAGGCAGGCTGGGAAAGCACTTAGGAATGAGTGATGGCCAAGGCTATTAGGTAGTCTATGCTATTACCTGTTGTGAGAATATACACCCACTTTAATTGATATTGTGTAGTTATTTAATCGCGGGAAACATGAAGGGCATCTAACTGAAATGCAATATCTTTTGCTTGAATAAAGTGGGGTCCCGCTTCATGTAAGTATAATATAAGTGTCTGTTTGTGAAGTACCAACAGTTTGCCACCTTTGGAAAACTGCGATAAGTCACTGTATATAAAAGATGGCCACGTTGACGTTGACATCAACTCTAGCAAGCTGCGTCCAGACACTGTGGAAAATGGAGTAGAGACATGTTGTGCAATAACAGGATGATTGCATTCAGAAAAACAGCACAGAGGTCTGGTTCAGTGAAGCGGCTGTGCACCTAGGAATCTACAAGTGGCCATTTGAGGAACTGCAACCAATAATTATTACAAGCCAATTAGCAAATGCTCTGTAGACCCTGCTATTACTGAGTTGGACTCCCTTTTGCCCAAAGATTCTCTGTGGTACAGAATAAAAAAGTGTGCCAAGACCACCAGAAGACCACCCAGTGTGGCCTTCTGCTGCTGTAACTCATGCTCTTCTGCATACCTTGGTTGCAGTGACTGGTTATTTGAGTCACTGTTGCTGTCACTGTCCTATCGATTCAAAGCAGTCTGGCCATTTTCTTCCGACCTCTGACATCAACAAAACATTTTCGCCCAGAAAACTGCTGATATTTTCTCTTTTTTCAGACCATCCCGTAGGAAAATCCCAGCAGATCAGCAGTTTCTGGAATACTCAGACCAGATGGTCTGTCACCACCAGTCTCATTTAAATCACCTTTCTTTGCCATCCCGATGCTCGGGTAGTCTTGACGAAGTCTACGTGCCTAAATCCGTCAAGTTTCTGCCATGCAATTGTCTGTGTAGACATTTGCATTAAAAAGCAGCTAACAGGTATACCTAATAAAATGGCCAGTGAGTGTAGTTGCTTTTTAGAGATCCAGCAACAGTTACACAGCAAAATGAGCATTTGTTGGCAGTTCTGCTTCATGCTGATTAATATTAGTCCAGTTCACTCTCCTTTGAGCTCTCCTTCGGCCTCTTCACAGGCCATTTCACAAAATATGAAATATTGATCATAGACCCACTGTCTGTCTGTCCCCACTGAATGAAGGCAGTGCTGTTTTGAAGAAGTGTGTGTGTGTGATTTGAGTAAAGTGCACTTTTAAGGAGTTAGTTACCAAATTACAGATGTCAGCCTCTTCTCAAAACCAGAAGTAATGTACACGGCTCTTTATAAATTCATGCTAAGCCTTGGAGTTTTTACAGCAGTAACAAGCATCAAATATAGCCAAAGATGAATATGAAGTAGAAAATAGTTGTTTCCAGTGCCCCAGTGTTCATGTCTCTCCCATGTGAGAGCAGCACATTAGCTTTATTCAATTATTCAATAACTTATTCCATTACTCTCCCCAGCCTGGTTTCCTCGTATCGATGGCTCAGAGGGGAAGAGGACTGGGCTTGTCAGCCCCGCGCGTTGGGGGAGAAAGCTTTTGATCCTTAAGACGTGCTCAGTGCACGATGGAAATGGTGCAAGTGCAAAGTGCAGAGCTAACGATTTTTAAACAAGAATTGGAATCCATTAAAATATGCAGCTTGCGCACCATGCAAACACATATGTAATGTATTCAGCAATAAATGGACCATCAGTTAGGTTTTTTCATAATGGCGGTTTTCTGATAGAACGTCCTGTTGGTACCGGACGCCTGCTGAGCGGCAGGAGCCTCCTGGGAAGCTGAAGCTGAGTGTAGCTGGGTTTATTCCTCTCCTCTCGCTCTATTGTGCATTGTTTCAAACCCCTTATTGTTTCAGCATTGAGCAAATACAGTATGTAGGCCAACAATGCACACACACTCACACAAGCAGCCACATTTATGGCCCTTTCCCTCTCTTTCTTCGTCCCGTAGGAATTAAGAAGTTCCTGTAGTCGGTAGTAATTCCACTGATGTCACTTTCTCTCTTAATATGCAGGTACCAGCAGGTACCGGTGGTTCTGGTGGGCAACAAGGTGGACCTGGAGGATGAGAGGGAGGTGTCCCCCAGCGAGGGCCAGGCGCTGGCTGAGGATTGGGGCTGCCCCTTCATGGAGACGTCGGCCAAGAGCAAGACCATGGTGGATGAGCTTTTCGCGGAGATCGTCAGGCAGATGGACTTCTGCCCTCTGCCGGACCGGAGAGAGGCCTGCTGCCCCGCCTGTAGCATACAGTAGCTGAATGTCGGAAGGGAGGTGGAGCAGGAGTGATTGGTGGATGGATTGGAGAGGAGTAGAAATTAGTGTCCAAATGTATTCATGTTAGACAAACTTGAAGATTGGAGAGGGGGCAGGGTTAAAGGAAGCGAAACCCCCACTTTTGGTGTCACTATTCTTAGCTGCTTCCTAGAGGATTCTGGGAAATGTAGGAAGTTGCAGAGAAAGCAGGTTAAGGGGAATTCAGTTTTGACCTTCACTACTTCTCCAACACAGAGGGGATTTTTTTTTCCCTCTTAAAATAAAACAAAAAACAAAAACACACGACCTTCCTGCTACTATCACGGTTTTTGCTGATTATTCCAGAGTGAATTCCCGGGGTTTTCCCAAAGGCAGCGCGGTGCCAAAAACCATCTTAAAAGCCATCAACAAAGAGGACCACAGTGCTAAATGCTTTTGGGAAAGCAGCCATAGGTCCATGGGAGGACGGCTCGGCGTGCTCAGCAGTTCTATCTGTCCCGTTTTTCTTCTGCTTGTTGTTCTATTTTGCACTTTTTTGTTTTTTTTGCCAGTGCAACGGCCATTCACCGGGTACCCGGAGAGATAAGTTAACACCACTGTGAAGGAGTCGTTACTGGAAGGTGCATTTGGAAGCAGGGCCCACCTTAACAAGAAATGAATGACAGGATGAACGAATGTGTTTAACACAAACAAACAAACAAACAAACAAAAAAGGCCGCACCTTTAGGGGGGGATTCATGTCCCATTCATGTCACAGATAATAACTGTGGATGACGTGTGCACGAAGTTGTACTGTCACACTCTCAAGTGAGTACAATCAATCGCACCCAAAGAGACGGTAATCAATCAGTCAGTCAGTCGATAAAATGTACCAACACTCTGCAGACACCTTACAGATGATACAAATGCCTTGTTACAATGTATGAAGTGAACATCAGTGTCAGTGTGTAGCTCATCTATCTTTAGTCACATCGGATATGTTAGTGGTTCAATGTCAGAAACACTTATTTTCAACAAAATAATAAATCTTTATGCACAAGTGTGTCGTGTGTGTTTTTTGTTGGATTGTGTTTTTTTGTGCGTCATCAAAAAATGCCTTTGTTTTTTTTTGTTTTTTTTCCCTCCCCAGTCTTTGAAGTTACCGCTCTCCTTTCATGTTAACCTCCAGAGGTCATAAGATTTGCACTCATTGAGAAAACATAGCCGCCTTTCAGCTTTGCTCTTTAGCAGTAATCTGGCACTGCCTTGGCCTCGTCGAGATGATTTATGATGTTTTGGTCCTGCGTCTGCGTTCCCCTGGCTGGTCGTCCTTGTGCTACTGCCCCTGCCGGTTGCCATTAGTGCCAACGCTTACTGCAGATTCTGTTCCTGAAAAATCCAGTGGGCATTTGTCAAATTTGGAGTGCCATTAGCGTCCATTAAGAGGATGAAACTAGGGGGGCATGTGAGACTCCAGATTCAGGACCATAACTTTGGATTCCCTCCAATCAGAATAAGAGGAAAAGTCTTTCAGCACTTAGGAAGGTATGGAAGCTGAAGTGATGCTGAAACACATCTTAGACACCATATGTTAGCAACAGTGTCTGTAAAAAATATTACAGAAGTAAACGATATATTTTATTGACTGGCTTAATACAAAATTACACTAGCTTCTTTGAAACTACTGCCAGCAGCGACACCTGCTGTCGTAAGCTAAAACAGCGTGTCGTTTTACACGTGGAACTTTACCATCCGAAAACATCAGTTCCTCTACGGACCTAAATATGCGCTGCACACGAGTCAGGCATGGCGTCCTTCAACCATAGACGTTTGTAATAGACATTTATCTGTTTGCTCTGTTGTATCTGTTTGAGGTAATTTTTTTGTGCGTGGTTGTAGGAACAGTCGTGAAAATGGCGAGCAGGACCGTGTGTCGAGTTTTCCAGCGACGTGAGTACCAGTTGTTATCCGTGTAGGACTAGCATATGTAGCTGGTCAGGCTTGTGACAGTTAGCTGTAAGCTGCAGTAATGCTCCTTTAAAGCTGGATTTAATTGTCATAGAAATAAGTAATACAATAAAATATGATATATTTTTTACGGTTATATATTGTAAAGAGAAAGTACTGGAAACAGGAGGGTCACCGCAAGAAATGTTAGAGCAGCTTTGGGATGTGTTGGAACAGGAGATTCCCCTCATGGATGTGCAGCCGACAAATCTGCAGCGACTGTATGGTGCTGTCATGTCAATGTGGAGCAAAATCTCCGATGAATGTTATCAGCACCTTATTGAATCAATAACAGGAAGGCACAGGTTAAGTACATAGTAGTTTTTCAGGTGAAAGGAGGTCCAGCTCAGTGACAGCAGGTGTACCTAATAAAGCGCCTTGTATGTGCGCGGGTGTATAACGGTACAAACTCATGGCAATTTCTAAAACTCTGTTTTAGAGTCACGGTTGGGTACAGCAGACGAAGTAATAATAATGATGATGATGATGATGATAAAAGTCGACTTCTTAGCTTTTGTTTCCTTAAATAATTACAATAAATATTTGTATAAAGGTCTAAAGCAGGAGTCGGCAATCTTCGACATCAAAAGAGTCTCTGAAATAAAATATAAATTACAACATATAGATAACATAGATAATTCACTTCAATTAACCATTAACAGCAGACCTGCTACCTGTACGTTGTGTGTTCAACTTCCTCACATTACAGGATCGTTTACATTCTGGCTTCCTTTAAGTTCTTCTTTCCATCCATCGTGCCATCCACAGGCTTTGCATCCGCTGCGGCAGCTCAGCGTCCATCTCTGGCTGAGGTACGCAGTCAGCGTAACGCCGTCTTCTCCAGAGAGCAGGCCAGGCAGAGAGCTCTGTACCCCCGCATCGAGAAGATCGAGGTGTCCATGCAGGGCCCCGGGCTGGACGGTGCGCTGCTCGTCATGAACAAAGGAATGTCCACCCCGCTGAGCTGCGCCAGACGTGAGTGAAAAGAACAAGCTTAAGTTGCACGTGTTAATAACGTGTTGTTACATGTTTCACTCCAAACAAACGCTCTGTCACTCTCAGATCTGACGGAGCATCATGTGACAAACTCAGCTCTGGCTCTTGTGGACGGAGAACCATGGCCTCTCCACCAGCCCCTCACCCACTCCTGCTCACTCACTCTGCTCACGTTTAAAGACAACGACCCCACACTGGTCAACAAGGTACTTTAACAGACAAACGTTCTCTCATAAATTCAGCTTGCTGCTGAAGGATCACACCTTTTATCTGAGAAAAGAAAATATTGTTGACAACAGAACATCAGAGCTGCAAGTCCAGTAAAGACGTGGAAGCCAGTTTGTAGAATAAGTGAATACTTGAGTGTTAGTCCTGTCCTCTTGTCTTGTGCTCAGGCGTACTGGCGTTCCTGCGCTGCCCTGCTGGGTCAGGTGCTGGAGACCGCCTTCAAGGATGATTATACTGTGGAGCTGCTCAGCACACCGGAAGTGCCAGGTAGAAAACCACTGTTTACCCTGACCCTCAGTATGTGTCTTCAGAAGTTTGACCTCGAGTGTTTTGATGTTTTACCTGGACTTTGTTGACTGATGTTAAATAATTAAAAAAAACAAGGTAGTGTTTAGTTAATGACGTATGTTACATATCTTGATATTTGATATTTAGGCATTTTTTTAAGTGAAAATGTTGCTTTGACATTTCTGCTTCTGCTGTGCTGACTTTGTATTTCCCTGCAGTCCTCTCTGGGGCCTTCTGCTGTGACATGGTGCTCGACCCCCAGCTCGACTCGTGGACTCCCTCTGAGGTGCGTGTATGGTCCAACGCTCTATTACGCCACTGCAGTCGCTGCCGACATCATTTCTGTTTACCTAGATGGTGAATATCCATCTGTTGGCAGCTACTCGTGGCCTCTTGAATACAAC